GGGAGTCTTACTGCGAGGCTCTATCTCAATACGATGCTGGATAGGACGGGGAACTACTCCTGAAGGAGCCTCTGACAGATCTGCGTACTCTACCACCAGCTTGGCAATAAATGGGTTGGTGGGTTTCTCTTTCTTAGGCTCAGTAACTGGCCTAACATAGGCCACAAAGACCTGCTCTTCTAATTGCTCCTTTTTCACTAAGTGTGCAAAAGCGGGAGCACTGAGACAACAATGTGCCAGAGGGTTTTCTACTCCTGACACATGGAACAGGCGGGCCGTCTTGACACCACCTGAACGACTAGGAAACTTACACTCGTACTCTCTTAAATGCAGTGTGGCTCCTGCCGCCTCTCCCTAGTCCATTCCTAGGACCATATCAAACGAGAGATGATCCTCAACGAGGAGAGTCTGGGAATGGAGAACTCCCTAAACTTTCCCATCTTTCTCTAGGCGAAAGTATGCCTGTGACTCCCTCAATGTAATCCTCTATTCGCATCGTGCGTTTGTCTGCGAGGATAATGACTATGGGCTCATCTACCTTTTGTACTTTCAAATTGAGCTTCAACTTCTTCAGTGTTCTACGGCTAATATAGCTACGGGTGGCCCCACTGTCTACAAGGGCCTGTACCCTGCCTCTAAAAACCTATACATCTACCAGTACTAGTTGCCCTTTTGCCTCTTTCTTCAACTTGGCTCAGACTGGCATCCTCTCCTTCAACTCATCTGCCAGTCTTGTAAGGGAAGCGCCTAGAGAAACTTTGACACAAGCAGTCTCTGGACAGCTAACTAAGCACTCACCAACGACCTCTGCCATAGACACATGTGGGTTGGGAGTTTTTATCTGGCGCGCGCGCTCGTCTCCACATGGCCTAGAGGTAAAGGTAGTTGCTACCCTTACCAGCGGTTGCCTTTTGCTGCCTCCGCACCAGCTCGCCGGGCATCTTTATATTTTGGGCAAAATTTTATGATGTGCCTAGAATCACCACAATAAATGCACTGATTTGCGTCTATCCTCCTTTGCCAAACAGTCTGTTATAGGCTCATTCCCACGGTCTGCCTTGAGGCAGACCAGGGTGCCATTCACCCCTCGTGGGAGGTGATTGGTTGGAACACGGACGGTTTGACGGGGGACCTCGACCCCTTCCTCCCTGTTGGCGGTTTCCCCTGCCACCAACCCCCTGCCCGCCCTATCCTCGACCACCAGAGGCCTGGCCCCCTTGGCCCTGGCCTCTCTTCTCCCTTGCGGCCTCCCTCAGTCCGCGACAACAGCGTAGGTCCTCCCCTGACCCTCACCACCGTCATCCTTGTCGAGGTCCCACTCAATCTCACTGTATGAGACCTCCTCTAGACCACCCTCATCTAAAGTAAGGATCAAATGATTCTTGGCCTTGACTTGGCTGGAGATGGTATGACCTCTCCACTTTTCGCTTTAGTGAGGTCCTTATGCCAGAAAGTGGTAATTGGCGTGGACTGGGCCTCGAATGCAACAACCTCCCTGCTAAGCACATCATATGTCATGTTGGGTTGTTGCTTTTTGTCAAAGCATTGCCCGCGCAGAGCCTCAAGCATGGCGCGATAAAAAAGTTGGACAAGTTGGGGCTTTGTAACCCCATGTCCAGGGACAACGACTAACTCATCCATTGCGGCCTTGAGTGCCCTAGCACTCTTCCACTGTCGTGTGTGGACAATTTGCAGTTGGTTTGAGGCCTTCAGGCCTCTTGTGACTTCTGCAAATCTCTCGTGGAGGGCTTTCAGGAATACACTCAAATGAGTGATAGAGGAGTATGTGACCATATCGTTCTCACATTTGGCGGCGCGTGCTAGCGACCTAGCAAAGCTGGACGCTTCTTCTCGGAGGGCCTGAAAGGCCACGAGGACATGATCTTCAGGCGCGATATCTTGCAGATGCAAGTAGGAGTTAATATTAGCCTCCCAATTATTAAAATCCTCTCTTTTTTTCCCGATATAGGCATCAGGGAACTTGACTCTAACGTGCTCTCTTCATGGCCGCGCCTCCTCTTCCTTAGGGGCCACAATTTTGGCACCTTCAATGGCACCAATGCAAAACCTCTCCGTGCCTTCTATGCAGTGCGCAGCTCAATGCCCACACACATCATCATATCCCTTGCAAACTCTTTAAAACCTAGGCACATGGATTGTAACGCAATATCGTGGTTTCTTAAGTAGCGTAGCTGCTCCTTCTGGGCCCTCAATATCACCTCCATATTCTGAGATAGGATCTCCACTTTCTGTTGGAGATCCGCCTGTGGCCCCAATTGCTCTCGTTGTTCCGCTGCATCCACATCTCTCTCCATTGCTTCGATCGCATCCAAACGCCGCCTCTTTTCCCTCGTAAGGCGCAATTTCCATTCCAACTTCTGCTCTTCCTCCAGGGTCTGTCGACGCAAGGGGTTCTCCTCCTCCTGCAACTCCATAACAACCTCCCTTTCTGCTTGGGGAACAATCAACATCGCCTCTCACCCACTCATTCACCATCTTTTTTATTTTAGCCTTTGTCTCTCTCGCGCCAGTGGATCAACATCGCCCGTACAGGTTTGGTCACCACAGCTCTATGACCACATGCACAAAGTACTATCACCTGGACATAAGTGACTCGATGAAGAAATAAGAGAGACTGACTCAGCAAGTACCAAGGGGTAGTGCACATCCACAGGGCGAGGAGGTAGGCATAGGGCTTGGCAAGATTTTACCGACTCCAGCTTGGTCAAGTCTTGGTCAACGCCTTGGTCAACCCCACTGGTCAAATCTCTGACCCCTGACTATTCTGCCAACACTTCTCCTTTGCCAACCTCTCTCTCTCTCTCTCTTCTTCCCCCTTCTCTCTCCTTCCTTCTTCTTTCTCTTCCCTTTTCGTCACTCCCGGTCTTCTTCTTCCTCGCAAGGTCCAAACTTGGTGGCTATGGCCGCCACTTTCTGCTTCACGGCGGCAATCAACGGGTAGCAGTGCGGGAAACCGGCGCACAACAAGTAGCGGGGCAGCGCGGAAAACTGGCGCGCAGCAAGTAGCGGGGCAGCAACAGCGAGGCGCGCAAACAACGAGGTACGCTCGACAATGGGATGCCCCCTCTCTCTCTTCAACAGGGCTGCTGACGTGGCACCTAAATGGCGGCTCTCGGCTCTTTCGTCACGCGGCGCTGACGTGGCACTCTTCTCCCTCAACGACCGACGATGACGACGATGATGACGACGACGGGAACGGGACAGTGGTAACCAGCTCCGATACCAATGCAGTCATACTTGTCTTCTTCGACATCCGGCATGCATGCAAACAGATGACGAACAAGCTGGCGACTTGCGCCCACACAAAGCTCAGAGATATCAAAGTCAAGAACACAGTCCAGATTCAAACTTGTCTCAATCAGCTATGGCTGATCACTGCACTCCCAGCAACTTGTTCACACACACGCAACTCTGGATCTCCCTGGATGTCCCGCACACAAAAACACAACACTCTAATCTTGCTGACGTGGTGGCTATGGCCACCGTCTCTCTCCCCTACTAACTAACTATCGCCTATGGCCGATCTTCCTCCTCTTAGCCCTCTTCGTCAATGGACTCCTGCAGACCTTCGTACACAAGACACTCCGACAGCGCTTCCGCACGGCTCACAGGCAGAATGAATGCATGACTGAACGCTGCCTCTTTATTTATACTTCAGATCTTCGTTGGTCTGCACTTGGATGTCGGGCACGGGGTGCACACAGTCCCACATGGTACTTGCTGACTTGACAAAGTGCGACTGGGACTGGGTACCGCTGATTAGGCTAGGTTAGACTGCCCACTTGACCACTTGCATGCCGACTGTATCCTAGGACTCACGGAGGGCCAGCTCTGGATCTTCCGGAAGGCCGCAGACTTGACCCTTAGCAGCTATGACCTTGACTCTTCGACACTGTAGCAGCTACGACCTCTACCACTGCCAAGACCTCTAATCTACAGACCTATGGTAGTATGGTTCAAGACCCGACGACAACACTAACTATGACAGGCAAACAGGCAACTTTCAAGACACAGGTCGCGGGTGCATGCACACACAGGTCAACTGGTACTGTACATGGGTGAGGGTGAGGTCTAGGGAATGAGCCCTGGGAACTGCATCTGCTACTGTAAAGGTGAAATCCCTTTCAATAGTGCGCACTTACACGATGATCAACATTGCTGTTTCTGTTGTCAAATAGAATCCATTCATCACAAATTCTGCGACTCTTTTTGTGCTGCGTTCTCTGCCATTTGCATAGGCGCACAGTTTTCAAATGAATAATTTGATGCTTGTCGGTGTGTGTGTTGGGGGGGGGGGGGGTTGAGCGGGGGGTGAACTTTTGATGTGTGGTGCAGGGTAATCTATCTGCTGGGAGAAGAGGGTGTGTATTATGGAGTGCGATTTGGGAAGGAGATTCCGTGGGTACATGCTTTCCCATTTGGATGGATCAGGGACCCGCAATACGTTGGGTCCATGATAACTTTGGTGGGATGTGGATTATGCTGGAGCCCTGCTCCCTATGTGGCACTGTGGTGTGCTGGATACATTGTCATGATGATAGTGGAGAGAAATGAGAATCCAGCAACTCGCCACAGAATGAGAAAGCAGCATGAGAGATAAGAACAACCCAGCCAATCCGAACGACTAGAACCATTGCCATTCGCTACTCTTGACCGTCTGGTGTGTGTGTGTGTGTGTGTGTGTGTGTGTGTGTGTGTGTGTGTGTGTGTG